TCAATATGTTACTACTCTACACAACATTATAGATGGAAAACTATTGTTAAATGATGATGTCCTCCCTCATCTCGCCTCATTACCAAATTTACTACTACTACTACGTGACACAATAATACTATCATATACTCTTATTATTATTACTACCAAATCCAATGGTTGACTTGGGAGTAGTCTGTAATTGTTCTTTATTATTATTAACTGTTGGTATCCCCTTATTAGATGTAGTAGTTACTTGATCAATCCATACCCTATTACCACTAGTAGGTGGTACATCACGTTCAATACCAGTACTCGTATACTACATCATAAACAATGTCTATAAATATGATACTACTACTACGAGTATTACTACCTTATCTGTATCAGGTTTGGTATTGAGTACATACAGTTGATTATTCAAATTCTTCTTATTAGCATTCTGTTTGGCAGTCTACCATAATAATGAGAAATAGATAATAACAGTATAAGTAGTAGTAGTAGTTGATGATGATGATGATGATAACATACCTCAATCTCATCTCTCTTCAATTGAGAATAATCGGATATAACAGCAGATGTCTGAAGTTGTTCTTGCCTTAAACGTGATACTTCAGCTTTATGTTCCTCAGAAGCCTCTCTTCTTTGTTCATCTAATTGTCTAGTCTGTGCTTGTATGGCTTCAACTTGATGTTCTAATTGCATTTGTTGTTGACTAAGTAGTGTTACTGATGCTGTACCATCATCCAATAACTAATATAATAAACGAATTATTATTACTATTATTGATTATCACTACATACAGTTTGTAGATGTTTAATCTCAGCCTCGAGATGTGCTCTATCACGCCTTAATGATATCTGCTCTAGATTAACCTCCCTTCTCTCTTTATTAGTTCGTTCTAACTCCTCATTTTCCTCTTCAGTTTGCCTGATATAATAATACTACTACTACTACTACTCTACGAGTGATATATTACTATTACCGTTGTAAATCTTTTAACTGACTCTCCTTAACCTGAACATCTACACTCAATCTTGAATTCTCAACCTCTAGTTGTCCACACATATCCATTATATGTTGTAACTCTTCATTGGCTGCATCAATCGACTCAGTTAACTAAGTATATATCAATGAGTATCATCATCATCACCAATTTATACAACGATTACACAACGATTATTATTACCTCTTTAGATAAACGTTTATCCTCT